AAACCAAAAAACAAAAGGGACTCAAGCAGCTTACTCACAAAAAAAAAAAAAAGATTAAACCAATTAAAATATGGGTGAGCTGAACAAAAATCTCTCTAAGAAAGACATACAAACAGCCAAAAAAGCATATGAGGAAATGCCCAACATCTGTCATCGTAAGGGAGATGCAGACTAAAACCACAATAAGATACCACCTAACCCCTGTCAGAACTGGAAAGATTAAAAATACAAAAAGTGATACATGTTGGTGGGGATATGATGAAAGGGGAACTCTCTCCTACACTGCTGGTGGGAATGTAAACTGGTTCAGCCACCGTGGAGAACAATATGGAAGTTCCTCAAAGATCTACAAATGGAACTACCATTTGATCCAGCAATCCTAGTTCTGGGTATCTATCCAAAAGACAGGAGAATGCTCAGTTGGCACATCAATGTTTATTTCAGCATTATTTATGATTGCTAAGTCACAAAACTAACCTAAAGTCCACAAAGAGATGAATAGATGGAAAAGTGTGGCATATATACTTTATGGAATACTACTCATCCATAAAAACAAGACCCTGGCATTTGATAGAAAGTGGATGAATATGGAGGATCTATTTCCAAGTGAAGCAAGCCAGGATATGAAAGAAAGATACTGTATGTATCCACTTAATTTATACCAATTATCCACACTTTACGGTAGAGATCTAAGTATAGGAGGGCATAAAAACAGTGAAAACAGTTATGAATCCTGAAGACAGTGTGGAATGGGGGGAGGGGAGAAGGGAAGAGTAGAGAGAAGGATAGAAGAGAACAAATAGAGAGGCATGACATTAGTGGGACACAGAAATGCTATATTACCTGTTGATGATAGCATGTATAGTATTCTCAGCTGGACTAGTCTGAGAAGTACTTCACGTTGGGTAAATTCTCTTTACAAGCCAAATGATACATAGTGATTGAATTTTTTAAAAATGAGAATAAATAATAATCTGAAAACTTTGATGAAAGCTGTTTGATGATGATGGTCTGGATAGTAATTTCTTTATCTTGACTGATATGCATGGTAATTGTGCTGGAAAAAGACATGTAATACACTGTAAAGATATATGTGACTCAATGTAATATAAAAAGATTATGATATAAATAAAATTAAATTTTAATAAATCACTTAATTAGCTACACATGAATGCTTACTTATTTGATCACTTGACTATCCATGATTGTCTGGAACTTGGCTGCTTGTTACAAAACATACTACTAAATCAGATTTTTTTGGGGGGGAGAAGTTTTTGCTATAGGGCACATGCGCTCGGCAGACAGACAGAGAGAGACAGAGAGATAGAAAGCAAGAAATAACCCCTCAGGGGGGATGGTCACATCACAATCCCTTCTCCTCCATTCTCCTCTTGGGTTCTTAGGCACGCATGCACACGTGCCTGGCATGAGTTTTAAGCCACCGGGTCTGGGACGTGAACCGCGGTCGACTACATGGGAATCCAACGACATAGCCATTACGCTAACTGCTGGTCTCTAAATTAGATTTTTATTTGGTTTGTTATATAAGAACTCAAAGTATGGGGACAGCTACAGGCTAATGGCTTCCTGGTTTTTTTTTTAATCTGACACATGGTAAGATGGGTAGTAGAAGAGTTAGGACTTGGCTTATATGCAACTGAAATCCTGATTTTTCATTTTTAGTTTGCTGTTGGATCTGCAGTGCATGGAAAATGAGAAAAATCATAAAGTAATCATAAAGAAACCAAGGTTGGGAGATATTTGCAATACCACATTTTTTTTTTGTGACTTTTTAAATGTCTTGATTACTCTTGGTAGTCAACTTCAGCCAAAAAGACATGACTCATAACAAACACAAAACTCTAATGTGCTTAATATAGCCATTCTTTGATTATATGTTTTCCATTATTTCCATTAAATGTAAGTCACCTCATCACATATCAGCCTTGGACCTCAGGTTATGTTAGGAAGAGTACGCATAAGTAAATTATAAAACATAAAATAATACATATGTGTATAGTAAAATTAGAAATCTTGACTGGGCATGTGCCAACATTGAGTTTTCTGTGGAGTAAAAGGGAAGAAAATTAGAGTCTGAATGGGAACAAAGGGAGTTTCACATATATCTGTAATACTTACTTTAAAGCACAGTAAATAAATCTATATTCTTATAATTTTTTTGTTTAGAGAGATATTTTTGTTACAGGGTGTGTGTGCTTACCAGAGAGACAAAAACATAGAGACAGAAGGCCAAAAATCACCACCACCACCCCCCTCCCCCAGGGGAACAGCTATGCCTTAATCCCTTTTCCTCCATTCTCCCCTCAGGATCATGGGCACACATGTACATGTATCCAGCATGAATTTAAGCTGCTGGGTCTGGGACTTGAACCATGGTGGACTACATGGGAGTCCGGTGACATAACCATTATGCCATCTGCTGACCCCATATTCTTATATTTGTTAATTATAGATAATGAGTTTTAGTTATATTACTCTTTGTTATTCTGATGTTTTAAATATCATAACAAACAAGTTTATTTATTTTTTCTTTTTTTGGAGAGGTTTTTGCTATAGGGCGTGTGCGTTCACCAGAAAGAGAGAGACAGAGAGACAGAAAGCGAGAAATCACCCCCCAGAGGGGATGGCCATGCCGCAATCCCTTCTCCTCCATTCTCCTCTCGGGATCTTGGACACGCACACACATGCGCCTGGCGTGAGTTTAAGCCACTGGGTCTAGAACTCCAATCGTGGTCGACTACGTTGGAGTTCAGTGACATAGCCATTATGCTAACTGCTGGTCCCACAAGTTTAATTTGTTTTAAAGTTATGTATAGAATGGATCAAAATTTGGGGTGATTGAATATATATATTTCTGAGAAAGTTGTCTCCAATAGTCAGAAATTAATTTTCACAATCTCTCATTAGGAATTGTTTGTCCTATTATTTCTCTTTTCCTTATTTAAAGATAATTAAAGAATAAATATACAATTGAAAGCATAGAAGGTACACGTGATCATGACAAATCCATTCTTTTATCTATTGAAGCTGATTCCAGAACATTTTATTCAGTGGCATGAATTAGATTATTAAAGTAAGTGATGTGGAATTATCTTGAAAACTGTTATATTATAGATCTCTTATTTTGGGGGGTGAGTAGCTAGCAGTAGGTCATTGCCTTAAGAAGTTACTGCTAAGTCATAGTTTTCTTTTTTTTTTTTTAAAGAGGA